CTAAAAGATCTTGTCTTGCAGCTGTATTTTTGGGAAGGGACCGCTGTGCCTTGAGATCTGAACTCAGGAACTAAAGGGGGAACCACTGGAACCACATCATTTGTGGCTTGGGGTGGTAACCAGTACCTGAAAGCTGAGTCTCATGCCATTAACTCAATTTATGGCTGAACCACATATGTTGGGATTGTGGTGGGCAGATCTAAGCCACGATCTGTAATCTTCATGAGCGTTCACGTTTAAAGTGTTTGCTGGTGTTTCTTTACTCTCCCCCCCCTTTCGTGTCTTAAAAAATATTGGGAGAGTAACCCCCCCCCCAGGCTCTTCATTTGTAAGTGTGTCAGTTGTTACCTTTCTGAGGGACATCCATCTCATCCCATTTTAGAAAAAAAAAACCACAATTTCGTACACTTCATTTATACACTGAGCTATCCCACCAAAATGTGTGCTGTAGTAAGTAAGTAAGTAAGTGTGCAATGGTGGCTACATTAAAAAGCTAATTACAATCCTTGGGTGGATAAACAGAGGCACAGAATCAAAATCACGTACAATATTAGTGCCGCTTTATAAAGTCTTAATAAGGCCACACCTGGAATATACTGCGTCCAGTTTTGGTCACCACATTACAAAAAAGATGTTGAGACTTTGAAAAAAAAAGTGCAGAGAAGAGCAACTAGAATGATTAAAGGCCTTGAAACTAAAACATATGAAGAACGGTTGCAGGAACTAGGTATGGCTAGTCTAGAGAAAAGAAGGAATAGGGGGGACATGATAGCAGTGTTCCAGTATCTGAGGGGCTGCCACAAAGAAGAAGGGGTTCAAACTATTCTCCAAAGCACCAGAAGGCAAGACAAGAAACAGTGAATGGAAACTAATCAAGAAAAGCAGCGTAGAACTAAGGAGAGATTTCCTGAGAGTGAGAAGAATTAACCAGTGGAACCGTTTGCCTCCAGAAGTTGTTGTTGTTGTTATTATTATTACGAGGTTTCAATTCTTGGACCTTTAACTGCTTCCATTAGAAAACGGAGACCATGATTGCAGAGGGAATATATTCAGGTACAAATCATGGGCTTGCCATTAACCTGGGGTTAGTCTTAAGTGGACCAAACGATCAGAAGATGCACACATGCAGACACACAATTTTTTGCTAACTGGCCCTTTCAAGATGTACATACTTGAAGCCATAACTTGGAGGATTCTTCTCTCGTATGTCTGTAGTCCCTCGTTTGGTTGAGTGAAATCTTTCCTAATTTGTAGTTTAATGTATCAGGTCTAATGAAGAGAAGGACCCGGGGGGGGGGGGAACAGGATAGCAGTCTTCCAATATCTCAGGGGCTGCCCCAGAGAAGAGGGAGTCAAGCTGTTCTCCAAAGCACCAGAAGGCAAGACAAGAAACAGTGGATGGAAACTAATCAAGGAGAAAACTAAGGAGAGATTTCCTGAGAGTGAGAACAATTAACCAGTGGAACCGCTTGCCTCCAGAAGTTGTGGGTGCTCCATCACCGGAGGTTTTTAAGAAGAGCCATCTGGACAGCCACCTATCTGAAATGGTCTAGGCTAAGGTCTTCTGCTTGAGGACTAGAACACCGCCAAGGTCCCTTCCAGCTCTATTCTGTTTAAATTAGTTCGTCTTTAAAGCCCTGGTGTATATTTTTATTGAAGTACTTGCCGAGAAGAACGACATGCAGTGCTTGGAGGTGGAGTCAAGTAAATAATCAGCCTGGAGTCCTTACATTCCAGCAAGTAATTTATGTCCAACCTCACTTGAAATTCCCCATTGTCTCTTATCTAGCGCCAATTTAGTGCTGATTGTTCATTGACTAGATTCTTGTGGAGAGGCTTCAGCCATAAATCATCTTAACTGGAGCTTAACATGTGGATCTGATTCTTCAGATCTGACAGTTTGTTTGCTCAATGCATGTTCTGCCCTTCCTCAAGGAAGCAAACACAGCATATCCTTCTCCCTTTCTGCTGGCCACCAGCCCTGTTAAAACCAGTGAATATTCATGACTGAAAGCAAGCTTGAAGCTGATCTCTCCAAGCTTAGTCAAAGCCCTTTCCTACCGCTCCTAGTTTTCGGTGTAAGGACATAACACCCCATCCATCCATCCATCCATCCATCCATCCATCCATCCATCCATCCATTAATCCATCCATCCATTCATCCATCCGTCCATCCATCCATTCATTCATCCATCCGTCCGTCCATTCATTCATTCATTCATCCATCCATCCATCCGTCTATCCGTTCATCCATCCATCCATCCATCCATTCATCCATCTATAGAACTGGAAGGGACCTTGGAGGTCTTCTAGTCCAGTCCCCCTGCTCAAGTAGGAGATCTGCCTAGACCATTTTAGATAGATGGCTGTCCAGTCTCTTTTTCAAAAACTCCAGTGATGAAACCCTACAACGGTCTGGAGACTAAACTATAGGAAGAACGGCTGCAGGACTTGGGTTTGGCTAGTCTAAAGAAAAGAAGAAATAGGGGTGACATGATAGCAGGGTTCTAGTATCTGAGGGGCTGCCACAAAGAAGAGGCGTCAACCTATTCTCCAAAGCACCAGAGGGAAGGACGAGAAACAAGGGTTGGAAACTGAACAAAGAGAGAAGCAACCTGGAATTAAGGAGAAATTTCCTAACAGTGTGGACAATTAACCAGTGGAACAGAAGTTGCCCTCAAAAACCGTAGGTGTTCCATCAATGGAGGTTTTTAAGAAGAGACTAGACAGTCACTTGTCTGAAATGGTATAGGTTCTCCTGCTTAAGCGGGGGGCTGGACTAGAAGACCTCCAAGATCCCTTCCAGATTCTATTCTATTCTATTCTATTCTTCAATCAGTCAATTTCTCCTGTTCTATTCTGTTCTGTTCTATATTCTATTCTATTCTATTCCTTAATTCTATTCTATTCTATTCTATTCTGTTCTATTCTATTCTATAGTCAATTTCTCCTATTCTGTTCTATTCTGTTCTATTCTATTCTATTCTATTCTATTCTATTCTATTCTATTCTATTCTATTCTTCAATCAGTCAGTTTCTCCTATTCTGTTCTATTCTGTTCTGTTCTATATTCTATTCTGTTCTGTTCTGTTCTGTTCTATTCTATTCTATTCCATTCCATTCCATTCCATTCCATTCCATTGCCAAGCTGTTCCACTGGTTAATTGTCCTCAATGTTAAGAAGTTTCTCCTTAATTTCCTAACATCTCCCTCTCTCCCTTTTTTCCTTGACACAGAAAAGGACTGGCCAACAAACAATGACTGCTGGAAAAGCTGTAAAAACGTGTACATGTGTTCTTCTTTAAAATTCCATTGCTGATTATGCAGATGGTTCCTTGCCTTTGATTTCAGTGGAACTAATGCCTTACTGGGTTTTATTATTTTATTTTTATAATATGGGCCGATCGACACGAAATCCTGCAATGCTGAAATACAGTGGGAAGCACATTATTATCATTATCATTATTATCATCATCATCATCGATCATCGCACAGTCAGCCAGATGTTCAGACTGGATTTGGCATTTTGTCTACCAATCGAGTCCTTACCAAGGACCTGGGATAGGCAGATGTGGATGTTTGATGGTATTACAGATCTCATCCCCGGATGGAAGCAGTTCCTAGTAAGGCCGCCTTTTGCAATTGACTAATGGCGAATTTGTCAATGCCGATGATGGTGTTCAAGTGGTGCTCCAGTTGTTTTGGGATTGCACCCAAAGAGCCTATCACTATTGGTACTACCCTTGCTTGCCTTTGCCACAGACTTTCTATTTCTATTTGTAGATCTTTGTATTTTGTGATCTTCTCCAGTTCTTTCTCGTCTATTCTGCTGTCTCCAGGCACTGCCACGTCCACTTTTTTTTGTCTTTCTTATCGACAATTGTTAAGTCTGGGGTGTTAAGTTGCAGGTGCTTGTCTGTTTGAATTCTGAAGTCTCAGAGCAGTTTAATTTTATCATTTTCTATGACTTTCTCTATTTTATGATCCTACCAGTTCTTGCTTACGGGCAAATGACATTTCTTGCAGATCTTCCAATGCACCATTGTTGCTACTTTGTCATGCCGCTGTTTGTAGTCAGTCTGTGTGATCTTCTTGCAGCAACTTACCAGGTGGTCTACTGTTTCTTCAGCTTCTTTGCATAGGCTGTTGTTGTTGTTATTACGAGGTTTCAATTCTTGGACCTTTAACTGCTTCCATTAAAAAACGGAGACCATGATGGCAGAGGGAATATATTCAGATACAAATCGTTGGCTTGCCATTAACCTGGGGTTAGTCTTAAGTGGACCAAATGATCAGAAGATGCACACATGCGGACACATAATTTTTTGCTAACTGGCCCTTTCAAGATGTAAATACTTGAAGCCATAACTTGGAGGATTCTTCTCTCGTATGTCTGTAGTCCCTCGTTTGGTTGAGTGAAATCTTTCCTAATTTCTAGTTTAATGTATCAAGTCTAATGAAGAGAAGGACCAGGGGGGACAGGATAGCAGTCTTCCAATATCTCAGGGGCTGCCCCAGAGAAGAGGGAGTCAAGCTATTCTCCAAAGCACCTGAAGGCAGGACAAGAAGCAATGGATGGGAACTAATCCAGGAGAGAAGGTGCTTTTTCATGAGGCAATGGGACTTCCATGTTTTTCTTTGAACCTTCTTGGAACTGCTGAAAGATGGCCCAAGAGGCCATTTATGTCCAGATTGAACAGCCCTTCCTCAACAGAGGGGGAGGGATATGACACCATCTATCTCCAGTCTACAAACACAAATCCTGTCAGCAATTCCAAGAAGGCTCCATACCCATTTGCACTATTCAGGTGACTTGAGGGCACAGATATGCCTCCAAGAGGCCTCAACGACTCTCAGAAAGAGCACTAACGTCCAGATGACTGCAAAGAATATAAATCCTTCCGTCCTCCACCGTTCAGTCAGAACTGAAGAAGGGGAAAAAAAATCCAGTTGATGTTTGGGTCAACTATGCAAGTGTCATATTTTATTTTTCCTTTCAGGACAACATTGCCTTCTTCTTACGAGGTTGCAGGGAAGTGGGACTGAAAGAATCTCAGCTGTTTGATCCGGGAGACCTGCAGGAGACTTGCACAAGCCGAACGACAATCAGGTAAGTGGAAAACTCACGGATGTTTCCGGAATCCCAAGCGGGTAACGTGCCTGGAATATAAGGATGTGCAGAAAGAAATTTTGAGCCGTTCAGTCCATTACAGCTAGTCCTCGACTTACAACAGTCCCTTTTGTGACCGTTCAGAGTTACGACGGCGCCGAAAAAAAAGGGACTTGGGGCCGTTTGTTCAGACGTACGACCGTTGCAGCATCTCCGTGGTCCCACAATCCAAATTCAGACGCTTGGTAACTGACTCGTATTTATGACGGTTGCTGTGTCCAGGGGTCATGTGATCCCCTTTTGCATCCATGGGGGGGGAGCCAGATTCATTTAACAACTGGGTTACTAACTTAACAATTGCATTGATTCACTTAACAACGTTGGCGAGAAAAGTGGTCAAACGGGGCCAAACTCACCAGAAAAAAATGCCTCACTTAGGAAAGTTGAGCTGAACACAACTGTTGTAAGTCAAGGACCATCTGCATCGGCCATGTTTTCATGTTGAAAACATGAAACTCTTAAGGTTTCCAAGAAAAGATTGGACAGCCATTTGTCTGGGAGGGAATAAGATCTCCTCCACCACCACCACCACCTCCTCCTCCTCCTCCTCCTCCTCCTCCTTTCTTTCCCTCCCTCCCTTCCTCCCTCCCTTTCTTCCCCTGTGTGTGTGTGTGTGTGTGTGTGTGTGTGTGTGTATCTATATATGTCTCTGTGTGTTTTAACACTTCTCTGACTACCTTAATAGCTCTGGACCTTAAGCCAATCCCATCCTATTTGGTTTCTTTGAAATTAGTCAAGACTATTTATATATTTCCATATGGATCAGGATCAAAACTCACCAGTCAAAACTGAAAGAACAAGAGCTGTGGGTTCAGTTCAAAAAATGGGTTTTTAGAAATAGTTGACATATTTAGATACAATTAATTTGGAGGCTGGACTAGAAGATCTTCAAATCTCTTCCAGCCCCATGATTCTATGATTCATCCGTGGACTCTGATCCCGCCCAGAATCTAATCTAGAAACCGTAGGATGTTGAAGGGAGCACCAACCCTTGTAGAATTACTTGTAGTCCTAAGCAGTAGGGGCAAGAAGATCTAATTCTGCTTGGGGTCTGCTGCTTTTCAAGATGGCTTCCATAAGCTCTTTTCAGAATCAGCTGTATTTCTTCCCTCAGCTCACTGATCAAGGAGAGAAGCAACCTAGAACTAAGGAGAAACTTCCTGGCAGTTAGAACAATTAACCAGTGGAACCACCTGCCTCCAGAAGCGGTGAATGCTCCAACACTGGAAGTTTTTAAGAAGAGACTGGACAGCCATTTGTCCGAAATGGTCTAGGGTTTCCTGCCTGAGCAGAGGGTTGGACTAGATGACTTCCAAGGTCTCTTCCAATATTATTATTATTATGGATCATCACACAGTCAGCCAGATGTTCAGACTGGATTTGGCCTTTTGTCTACCTATCGAGTCCTTACTCAGGACCTGGGGATAGGCAGATGTGGATGTTTGATGGTATAACAGATATTGTCACAGGATGGAAGCAGTTCCTAGTAAGGCCGCCTTTTGCAATTGACTAATAGCGACTTTGTCAATGCCAAATTAACAATAGTAATTGTTAGAACAATTAACCAGTGGAACAGCTTGCCTCCAGAAGCGGTGAATGCTCCAACACTGGAAGTTTTTAAGAAGAGACTGGACAGCCATTTGTCCGAAATGGTGTAGGGTTTCCTGCCTGAGCAGGGGGTTGGACTCGATGACCTCCAAGCTCCCTTCCAACTTTTATTATTGTTATTAAATGGTACGAACCTGGTTGTCACAGTATCCATGACAGACACGTTTGCCCCTTTGCTTCTGGAAACTTTGGAGCATGTAGAAGCCGTTGATTCAACAATCCTTCTCCCTTTTGTCTACTGCAGTGGTTCTCCACCTGTGGGTCGGGACCCCATTTGGGGTCGAACGACCATTTGACGGGGGTCGCCAAACAACGCAGTCCGCCATTCTTTCCCCTTTTCTTTAGCTGTGCTCCTCCCTTTTATTCTATTGGCTTTTGAAAATCAATAGAATAGTCTCTCTTGAATAGAGTCTAATTCTATGGCTTTCAGAAGCCAATAGGAATTGTCCAGGCTGTCTCTGCCCTGCTGAGCCCGCCAAAAGTCCCATTCTGCAAATGGTGCTGCACCAGTTGAGTAGTCCTCGACTTACGACCGGTTGAGTAGTCCTCGACTTACGACCAGTTGGGGGGGGGTCGCGGCATTAAAAAGGTTGAGAACCACTGGTCTACTGCATCGTTCACGAGAATGAGGATGTTAGAGGAACGTGAAAGAAGAGCTGTTGACTTTGGGGGGTGGGTCTTCTTTCTCTGCGTTCCAAGTTTTGATGCAACAAAATCAAAGTGGCCGAGAGCCTTAATATTTCCTTTGTTGTTCTATCTCCCTAGCAACTGTCTTGCTCACCCAGCATTTGGAAGGGTGACCCGCCCATCTGTGGCAACCTCTGGATTTCACTTAATCTAAATGCTATCCAGAAGGTCACGCTCTTTATCCAACTAAACTTAGCTCACAGGCTCCTGATGAGTCAAGGGTAAGTTAAAATCAAAGCAAGAGAAGGATCCTTCCTTAATCCCAGATTCTTCCTAGCTGGCTGTAATTTCCCACAAAAAAAAATCCTATCCCAGCGGTCTCCTGGATGATGAGCTGTCGACGAACGGCAGCCTTCTGTTCAGGGCTGACAGTCCTGACTTTTGGCTCAAAAAGACACACACAGAGAGACACACAGAATTCTAGATTCTGGAGTCAGTTGTGTGCCGAGTTTCGTGGAACCCCGACTTTGTCTGTGCATCTTAAGAGGGAGATTGCGGCAAAGTACGCTCCGGGTGACTTTTGTCTCCCATCACTTCTGCTTGAGACAAGTTTCTGATTCTGCTTTGTGACCGAGCCTTCCCCGTGGACGGTGAAGGAAGGAAAGTCCATGAATGTGGACACAGCCGCCCGGTCTTTGCTGCTGTGGCTTACAAGGCATCATCGCAGAAGATCCACATTTACTATCCATCCTACCTCCCTAAAACAACTGAATGGTGGCCGGAGCGCCATAAATTTGCCTCCAACTCCAGCAAGCTATTCCAGTTGGAAGAATGTCTCTTTTTTTTTTTTGTAAAAATTTTTATTTTCAACTTTACAATACATGACCATCTTACAAATACTTCAGATAAAAAATAAAACAAATTGATACACACCACATTTGGTCTTCCCCGCCCATTTCCTCCCAAACCGCATCCCACCTCAAACCAACTTACTTCTTTCCCTCTTTTTCTTCACTCCCCCCCTCTCCTCCTTCACCTCAACCTTCCTACTTACTTCTCACCTTCTTCTCCTCCCTCTTGATGCGGTCCAGGGGAAATGCCCGAGCAGTTCCTCTCTCAAAATTAAAACATTAATATTATATACAATAAGGCTATTTCTACTTTATCTGAACTACTTAAACTTCAACCCGTCCACCCCCTACCCCCTCCCCTCCCCTCCCCTGACTTCCCAGAGCAAAATACAGCATTATGCAAACAAATTAAACATAATCTATTTAAGTTTACTAATTATATAATGAACAACATCATAAAAACCCTTAACTCTCTTCAAACTTTAACATCATAAGCAGAAGAATGTCTTGTTTATTTTCTGATAAAGGAGAACATTTGTAGCACAAGGTTGAAATGAGGGGGTCCTTGGTGCTCTCTGCGCTTGGTGGTTTTCTTGGAGACATATTGTTACCCAGCTAGGTAACATCATCAGTGTTAGAAGGGAATGGGGGAGGAGGAGGAGGACGACGACAACAACAACAACGACTCTGGGGTCCTTGGTGCTCTCTGAGCTTGATTGTTTTCTTGCAGACATTTTATCACCCAACTTAGTAACATAATCATTGTTAGTAGGGAATAGAATTTGTGAGAGGAGGATGAGGACAGTGACTGTGGGTGCTCTCTGAGCTGGGTGGTTTCCTTGCAGACATTTCACTACCAAACTAGGTAACATCATCAGTGCTAGAAGGGAGTGAGATGTGTGTAGAGGAGGAGGACGACGACTGTGGGGTCCTTGGTGCTCTTTGAACTTGTTTGTTTTCTTGCAGACGTTTTATCACCCAAGTAGGTAACATCATCAGTGTTAGAAGTGCGTGGAGAGGAGGAGGAGGAAAAGGCCGATGGGGTCCTTTGGGGTCCTTGGTGCTCTCTGGGCTTGGTTCTATTTTGCAGACGTTTTGTTACCCAACTAGACAACATCATCAGTGCTAAAGAGCAAACCCCCCTCCCTTCCAGCACTGATGATGTTACCTAGTTGGGTAACGAAATGTCTGCAAGAAAGCCACCCAGCTCAGAAAGCACCAAGGATCCGCCCTGTTTATTCTCTCTTTTGCCTGTGAGGCTTGCCTTCGTTTGTTATTTTGGTGAAGGAAAACATTTTTAATTTTAATTCTTTGGAAACTCAAAATATCGGCCAGGCGAATCGCAGTGGCTCTTGAAAATTATGCTTCCACACTGTCAAATCAATCAATTGCTCCAGTTGCTTTCGTCACGTGCTGCCTAGCCAGCAGACACATCCTGCGGAGGGGGGAAACATGTGACCTCTCTCATTATACAAACCGTGGAAGGAATTTCTGCTTTCTGAGATGTTTTTCCTCTTTTCTTTCGCAGGAATCCTGACGGTGGCAGAAAGCTGAAAAATGTAAGTACTCCAACTTTCCCATCCCCTCTTCGTGCTGGATAGGTGTCTGTTTGGTTGGGTGTGTGACAAGTTAAGGTTGGAACTCCCAATACATTTCTATATATATCTTTTATTGGCAGAGACTTTGACTTTTGGACACCCAGGCGCAGGAGCGTCTGGCCTTGGCCGCTTTAAGATTTTGTGGACTTCAACTCCCAGAATTCCTTCCTGGCTAGGGAATTCTGGGAGTCAAAATCCACAGGTCTTAAAAGTTGCCAAGGTTGGACACCCCCCCCCCCGATGTAAAGCTAACTTCGCTCATGTTTTGATAAGTGAACAGCAAAACCATTATGATCTCAGCAGAGTCCAGGAACAGAATAAACAGGGACCTTGGGGGTCATCTAGTCCAACCCCCTGCTCAGGCAGGAAACCCTATAACATTTCAGACAAATGGTTGTCCAGTCTCTTCTTAAAAACATTGGTGCATTCACCACTTCTGGAGGCAGGTTGTTCCACTGGTTAATTGTCCTCACTGTCAGGAAGTTTCTCCTTAGTTCCAGGTTGCTTCTCTCCTTGATGAGTTTCCATCCGTTGCATCTTGTCCTGCAAATTCAGGGGCTTTGGAGAATAGCTTGACTCCCTCTTCTTTGGGGCAGCCCCTGAGATATTGAAATACTGCTATCGTGTCTCCCCTACTCCTTCTTTTCATTAAACAGTTCCTGCAACCGTTCTTTGTATGTTTTAGCCTCCAGCCCCCTAATCATCTTTGTTGCTATTCTCTGCACTCTTTCTAGAGTCTCAGCATCTCTTTTTATACCATGGGGACTGAAATGCAAGCCCCTTGAATAACAATAACAACAACAACACAATAAAAGTTTGGAAGGAATACCTTTTTAAAAAAAAACAAATTTTATTGATTTTTTAATTAATACAAAGTGCTCGAGACACACCGTGTCAATCAGTACGTCAAATATTCCCTCTCTATTTCCCTCAAAGAGCTTATATATTTAAACTAGTCTATTTCTACCTTAAATTTCTATTAATCCTCAACCTGTTTTAAAGCTTTACGCAATTACAAAACCATAATCTAATTTAGCTTCAAATACACGCATTATCAGTTCAGGTATCCCTTCCAGATAGCTTCTAATTCTTTAATTTCATCATAAATCTTATTTATTTCTTCTTCCACAAATATCTCCCAATAAAAATAAAATATTAATCTATCCTATACATATCTAATGGAAGGAGTACCTTTGAATAATAATAACAACAACAGCACCATAAAACTTTGGAAGGAATACCTTTGAATAACAATAACAACAACAGCTCCATAAAACTTTGGAAGGAATACTGTTTTGTTCGGTGCCACTGACTGGATGAACAAACGGCCGCCTGTTTGAAGTCACTGGAAGCCTTTTCACCAAAGGATTGAAACACCAAAAAGGCTGTTATCTCTTAAGTGAATGAACGAGCCAGTTTGCAGGGATGTAACAAATGCTTTATTGCCTGTGAACTTTTCCTGTCTTCCCTCCAAATGGGATTTTAATTTCAAAGCAGCTTTTTCCCTTCCATCATCCTGATTGAAACCAGGAACTGCACGGCAAGGAAGGAAAGTTTGAAATGCGCTCGGTCCCAGAGTTAGATAAACTCTACAAAGCCAGACACAACTTCTGGTGTTACCGTTCATTGGGGCAGTCCTGATGATTCCCATTATATTTGGCTGACATCCTTGAGTCGTGTTAAGGAATTACCAACAGCTTTCCGATACAACTTTGAAGCCCATAATTGTAACCACAGATTGATAATAATAATAGTAGTAGTAGTAATAGTAGTAGTAGTAGTAGTAGTAATAATAATAATAATAATAATAATAATAATAATAATAATAATAATGGCAGTGCCTGGAGACAGCAGAATAGACGAGAAAGAACTGGAGAAGATCACAAAATACAAAGACCTACAAATAGAAATAGAAAGACTGTGGCAAAAGCAAGCAAGGGTAGTACCAATAGTAATAGGCTCCTTGGGTGCAATCCCAAAACAACTGGAGCACCACTTGAACACCATTGGCATTGACAAATTTGCCATTAGTCAATTGCAAAAGGCGGCCTTCCTAGGAACTGCTTCCATCCTGCGACGAGATCTGTAATACCATCAAACATCCACATCTGCCTATCCCAGGTCCTGGGTAAGGACTCGATAGGTAGACAAAATGCCAAATCCAGTCTGAACATCTGGCTGACTGTGCGATGATCCATAATAATAATAATAAAGTCTATTATTTTATCGCGTCTGGGTTGCCCTCAGGAAAGTAATTGGTCTTTCTCCCCTGCCACACACACACACACACACACACACAGCAAAAACTCATGCACACATGTAGCTTTAGAAATAAATAATGTTTCGTTTTGCAAAATTTACTCAGGATGACTTGCAGAGGCCCTGTTAGGAAGTTGCTGGAGCGAATTTACCAAATGCTGGAGCTTTGTTGTTTTTTTGTTTGTTTGTTTTATTTTTACAAAACTTTCATTTGAAATCCCAGCAGAGTTATCACAGCAGCACTTTCTTGGAGAAACCTGAAAATTTTAAAAAAGAAATTAGGAAATATTTCAGAATACTTTGAAAGGATGTGGCTTGAAAGGTTCCTGTAACAGAATAACAGAGTTGGAAGGGAGCTTGGAGGTCATCTAGTCCAACCCCCTGCTCAGGCAGGAAACCCTATACCATTTCAGACCAATGGCTGTCCAGTCTCTTCTTAAAAAACTTCCAGTGTTGGGACATTCACAGTTTCTGGAGGCAGGTTGTTCCACTGGTTAATTGTTCTAACTGTCAGGAAGTTTCTCCTTAGTTCCAGGTTGCTTCTCTCCTTGATCAGTTTCCATCCGTTGCTTCTTGTCCTGCCTTCAGGTGCTTTGGAGAATAGCTTGACTCCCTCTTCTTTGGGGCAGCCCCTCAAATATTGGAAAACTGCTATCATGTCACCCTTCGTCCTTCTCTTCATTAAACTAGACATACCCAATTCCTTCAAGAAATAATTGAAAATCTAGAAATTCCTTTCTAGAGTCCAGTCCAAAATTTGAACTCCCGGCCATTGAAAAATCTGGACATCATTTCTAGAGTCCAGTCCAAAATTTGAACTCTCATCCATTGGAAACCTGGAAATTCCTTTCTAGAGTCCAGTCCACAATTTGAACTCCTGGCCATTGAAAATTCCAGAAATTTCTAGAGTCTAGTTCAAAATTTTGAACTCCCGGCCATTGAAAATCTGGAAATTCTTTTCTAGAGTCCAGTCTAAAATTTGAACTCCCACCCATTGAAAAATCTGAACATTCCTTTCTGGAGTCCAGTCCAAAATTTGAACTCTTGGCCATTTAAAATTCCAGAAATTCCTTTTTAAAGTCCAGTCCAAAATTTGAACTCCCAGCCATTGAAAACCTGGAAATCCCTTTCTAGAGTCCAATCCAAAAATTTGAACTGCCAGCCATTTAAAATTCCAGAAATTCCTTTCTAGTGTCCAGTCCAAAATTTGAACTCCCGGCCATTTAAATTTCCAGAAATTTCCTTTCTAGAGTCCAGTCCAAAATTTGAACTCCCGGCCATTTAAAATTCCAGAAATTTCCTTTCTAGAGTCCAGTCCAAAAATTTGAACTCCCGGCCATTGAAAACCTGGAAATCCCTTTCTAGAGTCCAGTCCAAAATCCGAACCCCTGGCCATTGAAAATTCCAGAAATTTCCTTTCTAGAGTCCAGTCCAAAATTGAGATTCCATCCGGGCTGGGTCCTTAAAATTGTAGGCTACCTGCTAGGGAGAACAGCCCCTGGCTGGTGTTTCCTGAATTATGCTAAGCTCTTTGGTTGCAATTAAAAAGAAGGCGATTAAGTTTTGCCCTGGGTGACCCTGTCTTCCTGACTCAGAAACCAATCCCACCGAATTAACGGTGGGCAAATGCCAAGAAAGGGCAAAAAGGACACCGTCTGATGTAATTCACTGCAATATATATATATATATATATATATATATATATATATATATATATATATATATATATATATATCTGTTTTTCACAAAACAATGCTGGAATGGGAATACTGGAGGTCAGGTTCTCTGTATGGATAGGGAGGATGTGAATGCTGGGCCACCTCTCTGATTATCCCCCCTTCCCTTGAGCTGCTGTTCCTTGTGAATGGAAACCTTTGGCCTTTGGGTGACATTATTCAAGTGTCAACGAAAGGAGTTTCCCCAGAGTTGAAGCTTAAGGAGGCTTATGCTTCCGATGGAGGCCAAAATCGGCATTTCTCATCGCTGCAGAAGTGGGACCTTCTTGAACTCCATCAGATGTAGTTCCAGATAGGGAACCATGCTAAACAGATCCCTCGGTGCCACTCAACTTTATGGGAATTGTTCTCTATAAATAAGCTTGGCAGAGGCAACCGTAACCCACCAAAGACGTCGACGTCAGAACGTAGCGTCACGGGAAGAACGCAACAAGCAACAAGGTTCTTAGGGGTGATCGTTGACTCGCCCTCAACCTCTGTCGGTTTCCAAAACCTCTTCATCAGTTTGGGAGTCCGATTAGCCGTCTGTTTGACGGAAATCATCCTAATTGTGCCATATGCAATATTGTGGGATCCTTCTGGTTCTTGGAGCTTGATGGCTTTCTGGTAGACGTTTCATTACCAAACTAGGCAACATCATCAGGTGCTAGCAATACATTCAGACTTCCTGCCTTGGTCCTGAAAGCCAGTTGGGTGACTTTGGGCCGATCACCAGGAGACGGTGAGTTCTAGTCCCTCTCAGACTGGAAAGCCAGCCGGGTGACCTTGGCCCAGTCCCTCTGCCTGAGCCCAACCCACCTCACAGGGTTGTCGTGGGGGGGAAAGAGAAGGAGGAGAAAGGCCGCCTTATTTGTAAAAATAATAAAGGAGGGGAGAGAAAGAAATAAAATTAAATGCGGTCTCGGCACCCACCACCTGGCCCTCTGGGGCTGTTTCTTCCACCCATTTTGGATAGGCATTAAAGCATCTGGCATTTTTATGGTTTAGACTCCTCAGTTTGTGGCTGTTGGGTTTTTTCCCAATTCGCCCTGAAGGAAGCCAAAGGTTAATAGCTCAGACCAGCTTCTGAATGGAAGCAGAAAAAAAAAACCCATCTCCATCTTCTCCTGGACCGGAAATGACCATATAGAAAAAAACGGGATTTCCTAAAAGTTAGAAAACTGGAAACCATTTTAGTTCACACAATTATAAATGGGTGTGCCTCCTCCTCCTCCTCCTCCTCTTCTTCTCCCCTCGGTGAATTTATTCCTGTGAGTGGAAATTTCCTGTCGGGTTATCTGATCGTCGTTTTTTCAGAGATTCCAAGCACTGCAGGAAATCTCTCTTCCTTTAATAAATACCCAGAGAGGTGCATTATGAAAGCAATGGATTCCTTGCAGGAAGAGAACTCCATTTCAGTTAAAAAAAAAAAACCCGCATTCATTTAATCTTAAAACTCTTTGGTGATAAATGAGGTATTGGTGCCCCTAAATATTTCTTTGACTTAGAATTAAGGATTTTGAGCCTGTCTTCTAAACTGCTGCTAAATATACAGCATCCCTCTTGTTCTGTATAATTAACCAGTGGAACAACCTGCCTCCAGAAGTTGTGGATGCTCCAACACTGGAAGTTTTTAAGAAGAGATTGGACAGCCATTTGTCTGAAATGGTATAGGGTTTCCTGCCTGAGCAGGGGGTTGGACTAGATGACCTCCAAGGTCTCTTCCAACTCTGTTATTCTATTCTATTCTACTCTACTCTATTCTACTCCTATTCTATTCTATTCTTATTTTATTCTATTCTATATTCTATATTTTGTCCTATTCTGTTCAATGGCACACATTAAAATGATAGATGGATAGATAGATAGATAGATAGATAGATAGATAGATAGATAGATAGATAGATAGATAGATAGATAGATAGACAGACAGACAGATAACCTTTATTGTCATTTTTTACTGTGGGCACAATGGCACACATTCAAAATGATAGATAGATAGATAGATAGATAGATAGATAGATAGATAGATAGATAGATAGATAGATAGATAGATGATAGACAGACAGACAGGATAGATAGGATAGTGATGATAGATGATAGATAGGTAGGATGGATAGATAGATAGATAGATAGATAGATAGATAGATAGATAGATAGATAGATAGAGACAGACAGACAGACAGACAGACAGATAGGATAGATAGGATAGTGATGATAGATGATAGATGATAGATAGATAGATAGATAGATAGATAGATAGATAGATAGATAGATAGATATAGACAGACAGACAGACAGATAGATGATAGATAACCTTTATTGTCATTTTTTTTTACTGTGGGCACAATGGCACACATTAAAAATGAAATTTAGTTGCTTGCTCTTAAAGTGAAACACATACATAACACATTTAAACATGCCATATACAACATATGTACAGACCTACACCGTTACATATCAGTAACATATAAACATCAATCACCATCCATCTTGAATACATAGTGGAAGGAGGAAGCTTTTTTGAGTGGGGGGGGAACATAGACCGTTTTTAAAAGAAAAAAACAGGGAACGTATTTAATTTGCTCTGGAAAGACTATGGGAACCTGTGGTGGTGCCAAATTGATCTGTTGTTTTGGTTTTGTTCCAATGAATGTTCGTTGAATTCTCCAGGTTTTAGCCACCGTCTATTGGCTGGGGAAAACGGCAAACAACAGCACTTACTTCAATGGGCCAGCACTGGACCTGAAAAAATTTGAAGGATTGTTAACCCAGATGAGAAAGGTATTTCAATTTGCTCCCTCACCTGCCGGTAGTCCTCTTCTTACGACCAAATTCCCAGCTAGAGCGTGGTTAAGTGAGTTTTGCCCCGTTGTACAGCCTTTCCTGCCCCAGTTCTTAAGTGAATCTCTGGAGTTCTTAAACAAGAACCTGGTTGTTAAGTGAAGCTGGCTCCCCCCGTGGATTTTGCTTATCAGAAAGTCGCAAAAGCGGATCACGTGATGCCGGGACACTGCAACTGTCATAGGTACAAGTCAGTTGCCAAGCGTTTGAATTTTGATCACGTGACCCTGGGGATGGCTGCAACGGTCATAAGCTTGAACAACGGTCCTAAGTCACATTTTTTCAGCCCCGTTGCAACGTCAGGCGGTCACTAAACAAACCGTTGTAAGTTAAGAACTGCTTGCATTTCTTTTTTTTACAGTTTGTTCCCTTCTTACTTCTTTTAAGCTGCTATTCTTCACAGACCTATTTAAATCCCCAACAGACAGTTCATCTTTTTATTCCACAAGTGTGAAGGCCGACCCACAACGGGGTGGTAGTGGTGGTGTGTGTGTGTGTGTGAAATGGATAGGTGAAAAAAATAGATTAGGTCGAGATGGAAATGTAAACTGTTTTAAACAAAGAGGTTTCAGTAAATATTTGCAGCTGAATCTTGAGATTTTATTGGACCATGTTTCCACCGGAAAATTGCTTCTGATTTTCAGACTTGAAATAGGAAAAAAAATAAAACTAAACTTAGTTTTGAAGATTAAATATTTGTGTCGTTATGGAAAGGGCTTGTAACAACTAAATGCCGAAGGGAGGCCGTAAATACTGTTAGCATTTTACTTAGATAAAAAGATTTGGAAGACAGATGTGTTTTTTTTCTGCGTGTCCCTTCCCACCCTTTTCTAATCTTTATTTTCAATTGTATTTTATGTTGTAATAAACCTCAGCAAAAGTGAATTTTGAAATAAAAAGAGTATTTATAAATTTATAAAAGATATTCATTTTCACTGTCACTATTCTCCCCAACTTTGAAAGTTGGAGGTTCTTCCACTTTCCAAATCCAATTTTATTTGTTTTAGCAGTCTTACATAATTATCTTCTTTTACTGTTGCACATCTTGCTGTTAAATAAATTCCCAAGTACTTAACTTTTTTAACTATTTGAAGATTTGGTTGTGTTTTTTTTTTGTTGGTTGATTCTTTTGTTTTTCTGTTAAGTTCTTTGTCAGCACTTTAGTCTTTTCTCTATTTATTGTCAGGCCTGCCACTTCTCCAAATTTTTCTATTTTCTCCTGAAGTTTAGTGCTTGTTTCCAATGGATCGTCCAGTATAAAAACCAAGTCATCTGCAAATGCTTGTAATTTATATTTTTCATCTTTGATCTCCAGTCCTTTAATCTCTGTATCTTGTCTAATGTTTCTATTCAATACTTCCAACGTTAATATAAATAGTAATGGAGATAATGGACACCCCTGTCTTGTGCCCTTTTTAACGCTGAAGTTTTCTGCAAAAGTGAATTTTAAAGAGAACAAATATTAAGGCCAGCCGACCTCTTTAATTTTTTTTAAGAACTTTTTTTGACTGCATGCAAAACTAGAAAAGTTACAGCTTGTACCGTAGTAACTTTATTGTGTTTGCCTTTTAGTAAAGTGGATAATGGTGGATAATGTTTTGATCAACAGGAAAATATATATATATGTTTGTTTCCATCGCTGTGTGTCTCGGGTAAAATTTGGACCGAAACCCAGAATCGGATTCAGCTTTTCAAGCTTATATATCACTCTCTCCAACTACAGAAAAAAACAGGGCAGAATAATAAGAATAATAACAACAACAATACATTTCTAATGCAATATTTTCTTAGTCATTGTGATCCACAATATGTTGGTGATCTACGTGGGAAGTGACGGAGGGATGTGATTTTCTATTAAGACAATTTGTACAGCACATGTGTGTGTTTGATGTGGCAGGGATAATTGTTGTGTTATAGAATGCCAAGCCGGAAATGATCAAAACATTTTTAATAATAAAGAAATGTTGGCTTCTATTGTGGGCAACCATTGCTTGGACATCTGTTAATACAATAAATATAATATAAGAAAAAGTAGATTTATTTGGTACATAATCTCATCAAATGTACTTCCTTCCATGACATAACTTTTTTTTTAAATAATATCAGCCACTCCATAGCTCTTATCTGGACAGCCCTTACAGCAGTGGTTCTCAACCTTTCTAATGCCGCGACCCCATAATACAGTTCCCCATGTTTTGGTGACCCCCAACCACTTATACATCACCGGGTGCCAGGGGCATGGCCAAAGAAAAGGGGGAAAAAATGGCGGACAGCCTTGTTTGGCGACCCCCGTGAAATGGTCGTTCGACCCCAAATGGGGTCCCGACCCACAGGTCGAGAACCACTGCCTTACAGTATGGTAGACTCATATTAATCATTTTATGACCAAAGCGCACATTTTCGGTTACACTTCTTATTTGCGGCATTCTTAAAGATGGATTTTCTCCAATTGTATAGACGTTGGACATCCCCTTGCTTGGCAGGCATTGTTCTGCCCTTTTGAATTATTAGCATGCCAGACTAAACTAAAATGAAATGAACAGCTATTCAGAGGACAGATTAACAAAGGTTGCAGTTTTGGAACCAAAGCTTTTTTTTTTTCCCCTACAATTTGCTCATTCATTCATTCATTCAATTAATCAATCACGCATTCACTCCTTAAAAAAAAAAATCACGGAGATGCTTCATCTGTTTTAAAAGAGGAAGAGAGAGAACCACAAAGCTTTTTTATTTTTTTAATATTTCCAGGGATGTTTTCATGAATGAAATATAGTCTGAGTATCACTGGATAGCTTCTCCGATTTTCAAGCCTATTGTGATTGAACCTTCGGCCATAAACCAAGAGTTTTTCTCCTGTTCTTCATTTGCTTCTGCAAAAAGGGCATTTTGCCAAAGGATTAAAGGCAGGCTGTTGGTATGCAGAAGCTGTGCTGTAGTCCCAGTGAAATGATGCTGCGTTGGGGAGATATGCAGGGAGAATGGGAATTCTCTTTGTTGGTATTTGGAGTACACCCTGTGTACAGGGTGACCTGTGGGTCCCACCATTGAGCAGAGGAAAGATAAGATGAGATGAGAAGATAAGATGAGATGAGATGAGATGAGAAGATCAAGCTGGCAGGAATAGCCAACACTCCAGAAGACAGGCTTAAGATACAGAAGGATCTGGACAGACTTGAATACTGGGCGCTATCTAACAAAATGAAATTCAATGGGGAAAAAAGCAAGGTTCTACATTTAGGCAAGAAAAACCAAATGCACAAGTACAGCATAGGTGGCACCATGCTCAATAGTAGTAACTGTGAGAGGGACCTCGGAGTCCTAGTAGACAATCACTTAAATATGAGCCAGCAGTGTGCTGCAGCTGCCAAAAAGGCCAACACAGTGCTAGGCTGCATTAACAGAGGGATAGAATCAAGATCACGTGAAGTATTAATACCACTCTTTAATGCCTTGATAAGGCCACACTTGGAATACTGCATCCAGTTTTGGTCACCACGATGTAAAAAAGATGTTGAGACTCTAGAAAGAGTACAGAGAAGAGCAACAAAGATGATTAGGGGACTGGAGGCTAAAACATATAAGGAACGGTTGCTAGAATTGGGTATGTCTAGTTTAACGAAGAGAAGGACAAGGGGGGACAGGATAGCAGTCTTCCAATATCTCAGGGGCTGCCATGAAGAAGAGGGAATTAAGTTATTTTCCAAAGCGCCTGAAGGCAGGACAAGAAGCAACGGGTGAAAACTAATCAAGGAGAGAAGCAACCTAGAACTAAGGAGAAACTTCCTGACAGTGAGAACAATTAACCAGTGGAGCAGCCTGCCTCCAGAAGCAGTAAATGCTCCAACATTGGAAGTTTTTAAGAAGAGACTGGACAGCCATTTGTCCGAAATGGTGTAGGGTTTCCTGCCTGAGCAGGGGGTTGGACTAGATGACCTCCAAGGTCCCTTCCAATTTTACTACTATTACTGTTACTAAGATAAAATAAGATAAGATAAGATAAGATAAGATAAGATAAGATAAGATAAGATAACCTTTATTGTCATTTTTTTACTGTGGGCACAACGGCACACATCAAAAATGAAATGTAGTTGCCCGCTCTCAAAGTGAAACACATACATGACGCACACCTAAACATACTGTGAACAACATATGCATAGGCCCACACCCTTACATATACTTAGCAAATAAATATTAAATACCGTCCATCTTGAATATAGACGGGAGGAGGAAGCTTGAGAGTTCACAAGGTTAATGCTGTATGGAATGAAACCATGTGCCCACAGAGAGGGCTCTGAGTGCCGCCTCTGGCACCCGTGCCATAGGTTCGCCACCACTGTTCTAGTCTAACCCCTTGTCCAAAGCAGAAGACCTTCCTCCCTCCTGAACAAAGGTTGTCCACAATCTTTTCTTGAACACCTCCAGCGACGGATCACCCACAACGAGAGGAATGCTGTTCCGTTCTCACGGTCAGGAAATTCTTTCTCCGTTCTAGGTTGGATCTTCCTTTGAGAAGCTTCCACCCATTGCTTCTTGTCCTCTCCCCTGGGACTTTGGAGAATAAGTCAGTCTCCTCTTCTAGGTTACAACTCCTCAAGTACTAGAACAGTGGTTCTCAACCTGTGGGTCGGGACCCCATTTGGGGTCGAACGACCATTTCACGGGGGTCGCCAAACAATGCAGTCCGCCATTTTTCCCCCCTTTTCCTTAGCTGTGCTACTCCCTTTTATTCTCTTGGCTTTTGAAAGCCAATAGAATAGACTCTCTTGAATAGAGCCTAATTCTATTGGCTTTCAAAAGCCAATAGGAATGGTCCAGGGCTCTGCCCTGCTGAGCCCACCAAAAGTCCCATTCTGCAAATGGTGCTGCACCAGTTGAGTAGTCCTCGACTTACGACCAGTTGGGGGTTGCGGCATTAAAAAGATTGAGAACCACTGTACTAG